CACTGGGAAAGTTGCTTAACTTCAACGATCGCTGCCGAACTTGCTAACCATTTGCGCCACAGAACTCTTTGCACTTAGCTAGTTTTAATTGATGTTTTCTATTGGTTTCCATCAGTGCATTGCGATGCCCACATGAATGAGCTACCCATACCATGCGGACCATGGGATCCCTGGTACAAGGATAAGCAAAGCTACTACAACAAAGTCCTGGTTTTTGGGGCGCTCTGGTAACGTGGTTTCTTTTAATAATTAAGTCCGAGCTGAGCAAATAACTTCACGTAGGTGGTGTACATACGCGAAGGCTTAGATAGCAGATTTATACGCAGCATCCTGATTAGTCAGTCTGCAAGCTCAGAGCAAATAAAAAAGTTTGATCTGAGTCTGCAAGATGCTTCTTCACGCTTGTTTATAGAAGACGTAGGAAGGAGAAAATGAGAAAAGCCAGAAAGGCATCATTGCAATTCATTTTTCAAATTTAAGAGTGCCAATGATATCAGATTACAAACAGAGCATAAATCAGGAAAGCCCTACATTTATTTAGCTATGTAGATACCCGATTTGTGTGCACACTTCTTAGAGCACCTCAAGTTCAATTCCATTTATTTATAAAAAAGGTGTCACACAAGCATATGGCTTCTTCGTCATGACCAAATTATATATTTTTGGCGGTAATGTTAGCAGTACATTTATAGCCCGCCTACTTGTAAGTTGCTGACTACGTAAGTACTTGTAAGTAAGCCATTAGACGCTTGCAATACAAAAGCACTTATAATTAGCGTCATTACCCCTGCCTCGTGAAGCCCTGAAACCTTACACACCGACAGACCACCTAAAGGTAGTGTTATTTCACACAGAAGTCTTCTGTAAGGTGGGGCTTACTTCCTTAGTATCCGATTCGAGCAGAAAATCCCTTATCAGCCCTAACTCACTTAACCTATCTACTAATCTCTATTAAGATCGCGCGCGTCTCTAATCTAAAGACATGCTAAACCATACTAGCATTGTTTTTTTAAGCATTTAATTGCTAGATGTTTAAATCGGGGTTTAAATGTGTAAAAATGGGTTACCTACAATGCGAAGAGATGGCGCTGCCTTGCAGCCTAAGGCTAGAGAAAATTCGATACGGCCGTCAGGGCCGCGGTAGCATAATTGGGCAGTGCATTCGCCCGAATAGCGAAGGGTGCGGGCTCGAGTCTCGTCTGCTGCCGGGTCCGCGTGATTTTTTTTTCTAGTAAACTTTTCTATACTAATATTCTAAATGCGACAGTGTGTCTGTCTGTACACTCTTCCCGGTTAAACCTCTCAAACAATTTTGATAAAATTTTGTAATAGATATAGTTCGAGTGACGCGAAAGAACATAAGGTAGTTTTTAACCCAGAAATCATCAACAAGGAGTGAAAAGGCAGTTTGTATGTGAAACTATTTATTCCACGTAGACGAAGCGGGCACACAAATACGGACGTGAATTGTTTGTCTGAGTATATAAGTAATATCTTCGGCCAAAACAAGAAGACACCAAAATCATTCATTGGGTACGGAAGTTGGTGTAAAATTTGCAATACAATGACGAAATTTTCCAGCGTAGTATGAATGAACAAGCATCCCAAATCTCTTCTTTTTAACATGTCTTCCATAAATGCTATAAAAGAAGTTTATAATATAAAGTTTTTCAATGAAATATTATTATTTTCCAGGTGGTTCTTTTCATTCAGCATGATGATCTACACAGATTCCATATTCCTTAACTGGGGACCGCCTGCGCAACCTGGCCCACCGAGCGATATGGTCGAGGACTGCGAAGATATTGAATGAAGTATTTGTTCATGTTTCGGATTATTAAACGTTAATAAATTATTTCAGTTTGATTATACCATTCATATTATTCATATCTAGGACTAAAATTTACTAAGCCTACTTAATACCTTCTAGTACTGTAGTACCTGTACTACAGTCATCTACAGTTAGTAACCAATCGTTATTGAACTGTGTTGCATTTAGTAACAAGACTTAGCCACAAAATGCGAATAGCAGCAAGTAATTTCTCATTGTAATGTAATGGTGCGATTACACCTGTTCGTTAGCCTGAATACGAGTGCCAATGGAATTCGGGTAAACGACTAAGTGTAAAACAACGCCTGTATTCAGGTAGTTTTCGTCGACACCGTCTTCCAGGCCGTATTCCAATATAAATGTTGTTTCGGGTGCCCGAATTCGAGTAATGTCTTTCGTGCACCCGAATACGGGCTAACGACCGAATGTAATAGGATATTTGACAAGTTTTGAAAAACGATCTCACGTTACGTACTAATGTTTATGGAGTCCATAAAAAGTGGATATTCATCATTCTCTTGTGTATTTCAGTAAAAATAACTAAATCAAAAACTCAATTTTCAAGTTGCCGCGAAAACGTATCTCTGGGCAATATGGCATCTCACTGGCGTGTGACGTCACACGACTGTCATTCAAACGTCAAACGATACAATGTAATGTCACTTTGACCGGAAGTTTACTAGTGTGTGACGTCATTTTAAGCTCTGCCAATCCAAGGGGTTTTCAATCACGTGCCAATAGATATGAAAACTATTATCTTTTTCGTGGGTTTTTGATAAAATTATGAATATTTTTTCTGTAATAATAGTAAAAACCCAATATTCATTCTGAATACAGATGCTAACAATTAGCACTTTATTTTTAATACTGTCAAATGCCCTATTGCGCCATAACAAGAGCGAGATGTCTAACGCCCAGTTTCAATAATCCCTTTCTTCCCAGCAGTTCCATGTAGCTAGTTCCACAGTTCCATGTATGGAACTAGTGGGAATATTACCAAACGTAGGTATAGTATTTACTCCCAGCAGTTCCATATTATAGGAAAAATAATATTTAATACATTTGTCAAAACACCTTTACCTTATTCGCTGCCAATAAAAAATTGCGTCACTCATTTTGAAGTCATACAAGGGAGGGTGAAAATGTTCGCGAAATGGAGGGGATTTAGAGGGGTGGAGGGATGATTTTTACGTAGTACTACTTATCGTCTCAAGACATATAAATACCACGAAGAGATCTCATCTGTCAATAGAGACTCTTGTCCTGGTAAAACGACGATGTCGATACGAATGGCATAGCTTTATTCAAGCAGGTCAGGTGAGAGAATCGATTGAAGATGACCAGCGCTCAGGACGGCCAATCGAAGCGACTTCCTTAGAAATTGTCTAAAATTTAAAATACTTATTCACGAAAATGCGCGTTCAAAATAGAAACAAGTCGCAGAAATTATCGAGGTAGGTATCATATAATACATCGATTTTGAATACTCTTCATAGCCATCTTGGCATGTCAATGCTAACACCAATTCAAAAGCAACAGCGCGTCGAGTGTCTCCGACAGTTTTTAAACCTCTGTAGCGAAAATAGAGAAGCATGAACCGGCTTGTTACTGAATAAATTTTTATTACATAAGTATATAGGTACATGGGACCAAATAGTTGCAGTAGTTCCATAGAAATGTCAGCTATAAAACTATTAAAACCAACTGACACTATACGACTAGTACAGACATGTTGTATTTTGTCTTTAATCATATTTCATAGGTATTTTAATTAACCACTGTGTAAGGAATTCTGTTACTATACAAAGATCTAATTGCCGATTTTATTGCCTATCTAGTTAAAAACATTTTTAATATGTACTTTTTCGTTAAGCTTTTCTCATATCATTTTACTTGCGCGAAATAGAAAATACTGTAGTACTGAAAGTACTATCATAGAAATAAAACTAGTATTTTAGAAGACCTTTCATTTGCGACAGAGCCCAACGTGTTACAAGTAACGATATTAAATACCTTAGATACACCACTCATAGATACCCACGAGCGCTCAAAATGTGTCCCAATCAAGAAATGCTCAAGCACTTCTTGGTTCACAGTCACGCGCAGACTGTTGAAAAGTCATATGTCGCAGAGCTCCGTGAAAAAAATCTAATAGTTCGTATATATCTAATCAATGTTTGTTAATTTATCGGATTTGAAGAAAATTTTATTCTAATACTTACTATAAACTGATTGAATATAGAATATTTTTTATATGTAAATGCATGGTCGATTATATTTCGCCGTAAAGCAGTCTCTTTTCCTCGCGGTCTGTACCTGCTACATTGCTAGCAGCGCATTCAGAATTGCCCGTAAAGTCAAAAAAATAACGTCTATATTCTTCCGAATATAACACTGTAAAATTTTACGAGCTTACATTTCGAACTGTAATAAGTCTTTGACGCATGCGTTTTAATGAAAACCTTATGCAGTATGTATTAAAGGTGACTTTCAATGTTAAAATAATGCCTGATTTTGTTTCTGACCATGCGATCATCTTAGCTCCGTGGATCGTCCAATGTACCTTTGGACACGTTACGGCCACGATTTTGTTTGTGTTGTTGTTTAATATCGTTGGTTACAACACTTGGGACGATATCGGGTATTCTCCTTCGTGAGAACTATGGCACATACTATTCTTGAACTTTAGCTGTCCCAGCGAACTTCGTACCGCCATAAAAAATAGAGGTTGGTGGTAGAGGAGTGAAAATTTAAGGTTGTATGTATTTTTGTATGAAGTATCATAAAAATATAAAACGAGAAATTTTGTCCAAAATAAAATTAAGGACCACCCTTAACATTTAGGGGGATGAAAAATAGATTTCAGATTCTCAGACCTACTGAATATTCATATAAAATTTCACGAAAATCGATCGCGCCGTTTCCGAGTTGATCAATTATATATTAGAGATATGTCTAAAAAAATATTATTGATAGATTCAACGTACATTGCTAAAGTGACTTTTTTACACTTATTATTTTATAATTATTACACTTTCACGCCGATGAATAGATTTTGATAAATTTCAGGCGATAAAGAAGACCTTGGAGAAGAAGTAACTTCTAGATACTGCTAAGGGGTAAAATGAACGATTAAGTTTATAATGAAAATTATTATATTCAAAATAATCCGCAGTCATTTTTAGTTAATAATGAAAAAAAGGGTCAAATTTATGTTTTTTTTTATTCGGTTTAATTTTCGCGTTCGGATCACCCATACTAAATAAGCATGTATCTTAATTCAAAGTAAAACAGAGTTATCGTAGATATGAATAATTTCGCTATAGCTAAGTGAGATGAGTGAGAGTTATCTGCTCTCCGGTTTCGGCTTCGGCGGCTTGAAGCCCATTATCTTCTTCTTCTTCTTCTCTTTGCCACCGGACTGGAACGTTTTCCAACTGTCCACGCGGTTTTGTCGAGATTCCTGGAAATAATAATGAAAAAACAATCTTAGTTAAGCCGATAGAGACTGCTTTTTAAAAGCTCCGCGAGCACAAAATATAAACAATTATTTGTGGTTGGACCTCGTATTTGAAGTATACTTTTTTTATTCATGTTTAAATTATACTTCAGTTTAATGTCCTCGACATTCTATTAATCTTGTAGTGAGCCTCCTGCTACAAAGAACCTTCGTCAGACGTTTAGAGAAAATATTAAAAAATATCTGTGTCACCATCGTTAGTTTTTTGTGACGGATGCCTTTACGTTATTATTAAGTTTTTCAGGATATATAAAAACCAAAAAAACACTCCTGCACCTGTAACCTGACACGCATTCTTTTATGTTAAAAGGATGGTAAATAATCATTTTTTTATCATTATAAACAGTGCTTATTAATTTTATATTTACAGCATTAGAAAAACCACAGAGGTTTGGCCTGCTTGATAGTTAGCGGTCACCGTAGCCTATAGACGCTTGCGACAAACTGCTACACCATTGATGACCATTTAATAATTTGGTGTTTATTTTTTATTATTAAACAATCTCTTCTTTAATTATCCTGAAAAACTTGATAATAACACGTGGAAGGCATCCGTCACAAAAAAGCATCTCTGTGTCACGCGTTATTATTTTACCCCCTTTTAACATAATAATAATAAATATTTCCAACACTTACACCAATTAGCCTAGCCCCAATGTAAGCACTGTAAGGCTTGCGTTGTGGGATACTAGGGATAGAATACATATACCTACAGTACATATATAAGTATGTTTATATAGAAATACATATTAAACATCCATGAATGGAGTAAAAATGCTCGTATTCATCACACAAACATCTGCCCCCACCGGGATTCGAACCCGGGACCTCTCGAGTAGGCGACACCTTGAAACCAGGCGTACAAACCACTCGGCCACGGAGGTCGTCATCACATAAAAAATGCGTGTCGGTTTGGGTTTTTACTGGGTAGCTCATTTCATCGAACTTTCGGGCTGGATCAAACGAATAGGATATCCTCGTTGCACGCTCCCAGTGGTGAAAGAAGGCGTCCAGCCTTTTCCAGAAATAAAAAAGGGGTACTGTCCTTCCCTATGGATGGAATAGGAAGAGCGAGCCTTGGCCCACCATGCGGCGCCATTGCGGATTAGTGGGTGCAAACGAATTCAGATACAGTCGTAATCAACGGTTTAACGTGCCCTCCAAAGCACGGAGGAGCAATGGAAGATTTTTATGGGTCACTCATTCTCTGGCTGGCCATTGTGATAATTGCTTAACTTTCGCCATCGCCAACCGAACGCTCAACACTGCGCCAAAGAGCTTCTTCATCATTCATTCAGAGGCAGTAGAATATTAAGCACTTGTGTACTTAAAGAAAATAATTATGGAAGTCGGTACGTATCGGATGGCTTAGTACGAGCACAACGCCAGCGTAGAGTCATAGACAGTGGACTTAACAATACCATGAAGTTAATGCCACGAATTAGAAATGATATGGAACACGAACTGCGCTAAAAAGTGTCAAATCAAGTTTTTAAGGGACAAATATGAACTCCTGTGAAATTAAGTGCTGTAAAAGACTGAAGCAAACAAATACAGGTTTTTCACGGAAAGAAATTTAGTTTTCAAAACTCTTAGAGAAATATTGTTGTCAATATTATTCTCGTCGCACGTAATAGGCTCTTTCTACGGCACTTGTTCCACCGCCGAAGATGAACGAATAAAGAAAGGACATCGTTCAGCGTCCATACATAGTTAGCCTAAGAACCAACAATCATAAAATATTATTTTCAGGTTCAAAATCGTAAGTAAATGACTGTAAAAACAAAGATTATTGACGGACACTTCTGAGAACTTAAAATATTAGGAAAACTAAAATTTTTTTGAGGTTATGTTTAATATTCAATGAAACATAGGTCAACCTATGAATTTAGTATGAACTCAGTATGAAGTGAATTAATATTATAACTAATTCATTTTATTCGGTGCGATTTTAAAGAATAACTATTAGGAAAAACTTGGTTAGGTAGGAATCATGAATAAAATAAAAACTGTAGTTTTGCTTCTTATTTATTGACTATTTTTTCCATAAATGTATCATATTGATTATTGTATTTATTTGTATATCACATGTATATTGTGTAAATATGCAGCGTGAATGTGTATAAGGTGTTCTTGAATAATTTGGCAGTATGAACCTCTCAGGATGTTGTGGCACAGGTTCACTAGCACTTGGTAATAAGGGCTCTGCTCTTTGGTAACATCGATGGCATATTAGATAGCCGAAATAGTTAAATTAAAGGAAAAACAATCGCAAATAAACACACACAACTGGTAATCCGAACCAAGAATGCACTTTCCGAAATAATAAACTACTCTTTGGAATGCACGAATACCACAGATTACTATGAAACTGCATGCACCACAACCACAGAGTAACAAGTTTTATGCCGGCCCTTCACTTGTCAAAAGTTTGTCCTTGTCATGCTTAATAAGGAATGAAAAGGACAGACTGATGTCATGTTTTAAAATAGCAAATACGAATAGCCAAGTGAAATGATGGCATTAGGAAGAAAGAGTGTTTTGCTTTTTTTTTTATATGATTAGGTAGGCAAATGACTCTACCCCACCTGATGTTAAGTGGTGATAAAGTCCAAACGCGAAGATAGCTGGTACAGCAGTTATAAACTGTTACACCAACCATCCTCACCTTGCCGGCCCGCAAAAATGCTTCTTCACGCCTCTCTTAAAGGACCCCAGATTATAGGAAGGAGGGAACACGTGCGCGGGCATAGAATTCCACTTACGAATAGTACAACAAAGAAATGAGTCGCCAAATTTCTTTGTTCGTGTAGGAATAGTGGCCACAGTAAGTCGGTGGCAACGTAGGCCAGCGCGCGTGGTCCTCTGAAGAAAAGGTGATGGAGGGATAAGCGAGAATAGCTCCTCAGAACACTCGCCGTGGTATAGTCGGTAGAATGCGCTTAATGATGCCACATCACGGCGTAATTGTGGAGACTCGAGTTTCTTAGTTACCTCTTCATCGCCAATGATGCGGGCAGCGCGCCGCTGCAACCTATCCAAGGCATCGAGTAAGTACTTAGCGGAGCCATCCCAGAGGTGCGAGCAATATTCCACGCAGGACCGCACTTGCGTTTTGTACAACAAGCACAGTTGATCGGGCGTGAAAAAACGCCGCACCTTGTTCAGGACTCCGAGTTTGCGTGAAGCTGCTTTAATCAAGGTCTCGATGTAGTCCTTTGGATTCAGGTCTGAGCGAACCTCCATACCGAGCATGGTAATATAGCTCTGTAGCGCCAGTGTTGTGCCCTGAAGAGAGGGAAGGGGAAGGAATGGCGATGTTTTTGCCGTGAAAGCGCAAGTCTGAGTTTTCTTGGCATTGAACTCAACCAAGCTCCTGGTACCCCATTCGGAAATGTGGTCCAAAGCCCGATTGAGCTCAACGACAAGATTCTCCCGTTTCTCCATGGTTTCTACCTTTCCAGTGTCCAAAGTATCTCGCATGCACTGTGCTATCGTCTGCATAGCAATGAATATTCGCAAGTGGAATCAAATCATTGATATGCAGCAGAAAGAGTGTGGGGGATAGAACGGAGCCCTGAGGAACACCGGCATTCACTGACATGAACTGTGAACTACATCCGTCCGTAAGGACGCGAATTCTACGCTCATGCAGGAAGTCAGCTACCCAGGCGCAGAGCTGAGCAGGCAGACCGTATGCGGGCAGCTTGGAGAGAAGGCTTTTGTGCCAGACCCTGTCAAAAGCCTTGGCGATGTCAAGGCTAATAGCCAGAGACTCTCCCCGCTTGTCTATAGCTTCACCCCATATGTGTGTCACGTACGCTAGAAGGTCACCCGTCGATCGATTCGGTCTAAATCCGTATTGACGATCGTGAATCAGAGAGTAATCTTCTAGGTAGCGGGTCAGGTGGTTGTTAAGGACCCTTTCTAAGACTTTACACAGCACTGAGGTGACAGCTATCGGCCGATAGTTGGCCGGGTCTGAGCGGTCCCCTTTTTTGGGCACCGGCTGCACATTGGCGTCTCTCCAAGCTTCCGGCACACGCCCCAAAGAGTAAGAGAGTTGGTACAGGCGCGTAAGCACGGGAGACAACTCCGCTGCACAATGTTTAAGAACAACTGCTGGGATGCCATCAGGTCCACTAGCTTTCCGGACGTCGAGTGATTGCAACTCCGTACGAACATCACGCTGCCTGATTTTAATGTCAGGCATCGTAGTGCCACAATGAGGTAGTGTAGGTGGCAGTGCATTGCAATCACTGATTAGGGAGTTAGCCGCAAAGAAACGAGAAGCGAGAAGAACTAGAAACAAGTTGGCGAATAGTGGAGAGCGAGAGTGTAGTTCCGCTAGTTTTATCGCTAGGCTATAAAGGAGTGTGTGCGTACAAGGGCGATTACTCTCGCGCCACTTGCTCGCGGTGACAGTCCAGGGGGCCAATCACCTAACGCTATCGCTATAGCTTACGATTTTATTTTGTTTTTTTTTGACCGCTGAAGGTTTTCAAAAACCTTACGCTCATTTTCTTTCACATTTTTGTAACCAATACAAAAGGAAAAAAAGAGCGCGGGGCATTTGAAAACCTTCGGCGGTCAGAAATATCAAAGCGAAAACGTGAACGAAAGCGATAGCCATAGAAATCCCGTTAGGCGATTGGCCACCTGAGCAAAAATGCAACCGCACGCGTTTTGACGGCCATGCGAGCATCGCTGAGCAAGTATTATAGAGCTAAATAAGTATAGTGTAAAGTATCAATCGCATATTAGAGATTTCGTAATCTGATTCCGTTTGTGGGTGGTCGTCGTAAATAATGTATGAAAAGAGGTGATTGGATTTTTTTTCAATTATTATGCCTTGTTAACGCTTGTCAGATTCATTTTGTAAGATGAATCACATTCATAATCTGAAATAATCAGAATATGTGTATGTATAGTAGTTAAATTGTTTGCAATGATGTTGTTCAGGAATAACGGGCGCAAGGTGACAACAATGAGTCGAAAGGTCTACGCATCCGTCAAATCGCGTGCGTCTTCATAGTCTATGGATTTTTGGCAATGTACAAATCGTACAAGCCAAAAAAAAGGCTGGATTAATTTATATGCTTGTTGGATTAATTCGCGCCAAGAACAAAATTCTTAGAGAATTTTAAAATTTTATACAAAATACCTCATGCCACAGTGGCGCCAACTGGGCGCGTGAATTTTCGTAAACACCCTCATTCCGTGCGCTCTGAATTAATAATATGTATTCAGTTTCTGATCCAGACTGTGTAAGGCCAACCTCACTATTAAATACAATCTCACCACCTTCTCTTTTGTAAGCAATCAAAGTTTAAAGAAAATTTTACTAGAAAAATTCCACTTGGATCAGGTGGATCAAAGTTTATCAATTTACAAATGTCATTTGGGTGGTGTAAACAAAACACTGCATAACTATTCCTAGCATATACTTTGTTATAGAAGGGTAGTGTTGTACCTCAAAGTTCTTTGCCCATTCTTTTTCAAAGGACATCTGTTCCTCTTGTTCGATTTCTGCTTCGCGTTTTCGCTTCCTTTCCTCCATGTCACGTGTTTCAAGATGCTGCCTCTTTCTTTCCATGTCGGCAAACAGCTAGAATACACAAAATAATAAATAAATTCACTAAAGCATTTGATTTGTTGAGAGACTAGTATAGAAGTGCTTTGAATATTATAATTGATAAAATATTATTGTCTGAGTGGACTCAAGAAAAAATTGTTGTTTCTCTAAATTCTGCAAACCATAGATGGAAACCACAAATAGTTGTGTGACAGATGTCACAAGTCACAAAGTCCTTAAAGTCACACATCTCCGAGTACAAGAGCTAATATTTGCAAGAATACCATGCCATGAGGGCATAGATATTGAATGTTAATGTGTACCCATTTAATAGTGATTATTAACGTTATATTTATCTCGATTATTAACATTAACGTGACATCGCTTTTGATTTTGCAGTGTGGCCACTCCCTTTATCTCTTTAATTTTAACACCAATGACAGGAATAGCCAATTCCCGTATATGTGGCCCCAGCACAAGAGCATAAGCACTGCAGTATATACCACATAAACAAGTTTCCAATACTAAATTTCTTATGAGAATAAAATCAGAATAAAGTTAAATATTATAGAACCCATATTGAAATATAAATTACCTTCATGGTCATCACATACACTGCATGTTTGTACTTTACTGGATCATCCTCAGGTATTCCTTCACCTAGACGGCCCTCTTTTTTGTTCTTTTTCCTCTTTTGTTCTATCTGCAGTGAAATAATTTTTAAAGTTTATTTGTAATAATACAGTAAGTTTTGTTTGTAAAAACCCATGATCTGGTTTATTGCTACAGTTTTAGTATCAGCTTTCAGGCTGGGCACCGATCATATTACAACAACATTTTAGTTAATATAATATTATAATAAAACCTACTTGATCATGGAAATTAAACCATCACCACTTTTTGACACATGTGAAAAAACAGATTATATGATTTGTATACTGTTGTAGAGTGCCAGGGATGCAGAGATGAAATTAAGAATGTTTAGGGGTGCTGTCTGGCTGACAGCCCAACTCAGATTATTATTTTATACCAGTTTGCAACTGTGACTTTGTTCAGGTTAGTTACTACTTGAAAATGTCATAGTTTCCCGTCATTTTTCTGGGATAAAAGTATTCTTTATGTCAATGTCAATGATAAACTATGTACAGTTAAGCTGAATTTCATCCAAATGCATTCAAACAAACATCCATACAATTTTTCACATTTATTATATTAGTAGGATTATTTCTATCTTTGAACATATGGTTATAATTTAGGTTGCTACAAGGACATAGGGCTCTCATAATAAAAAAATGTTTTCTAAGTTTTGTATTAAGCAAGATGTTTGTGATATGATTTTAGCCTAAAAGATTTAATAATGAAATGAAATGATATTATAATCAATACAAATTGACTTATAGAGGAAATATAAAGCAGTATCATAATATACAAACCATGTGATCTGTCCTCTCTTTGGCTTCTTGATAGATATCCAGGCATTTCTTCCTTGTATCCTCATTTTCCAAAGTTTTCCAAGAACGATTCACTATTTCAAAAGCTTGTTGAGCTCGTTCTGAATCATCCTGAAAGGTAGAAAGTAGAAAAAGTAAAGAACAATAATCATTCAAATTCTTTTTGTCTTTAAAATTTTCTTTTCTGTATGTATGCCATATTTGTATTGCAAATTTCGCCCCTACCACTCATTCATCAACTTTGTACCTTACCTAAACACCGGTGAGTCGGCTCATGTGTCAGGATGGTTCCATCTGTGGATAAAAATGAAATGTTGACGGGCGTAACCGTCTAAACTGGGACAATATTCTTCTCAACAACAATGGCAAGGGCATTGAATTTGGCATATTAAATAGAAAAGTTTTACTTGCAACAGAATGATATATGCATTATGACTAAATAGGTTGTTGCAAATTTCTTAAAAACAAAACTAGTATTATCAGCGGTCATTGCAATATGACTTGCTCTTATACAATATAAGAAATATCACCAAAACAGAAAATAATGTTTGGATAAAAATTTAAGTTCTAGAGTGATGAAGTATATACATGTATAATTGACTAGGTACTTATTATGAAAATTATTTCAGAATCGTTGATAAGTATGTAAGTTGATTTAGTAAATTAGCACAAACCATATTCTTATCTGGATGCACCAATATGGACAGTCTCCTATACTTTTTCTTGATTTCATCGAGAGTTGAATCAGGTTCCACTTGTAAAACTTCAAATGGATTCAAATTAAAGTAAGTTGACCCTGGACGGAGAAGTCTTTCAATCTGCTGCTTGGGTGTCAAAACTGAATCACGTTTCTCGATCTCCTTGACCTGTAATTTTCAACATTCAGCATGACTGAAAACATTTGTATGCCTAAATCTCTGATCAAATAAAAAACTAAAGATAGCGTTCGGACAAAAAGTGGCACCAGTTTAAATTAAGCTCTGCCATGGACGTACACAAATACACGCACACAGGTCCAACGAAACTTAGCCCAAATATATCAGTCGAGCAGCGATCTAAAGCCTAAATTATTTTTATACATAACTGACATAAATATTTGTAACCTCTAACATTTGTTTCAACAAAATTATTGCTTTTAAATAACATATTTCCCAGATTGGATTAGGAAATGCAATGTGCACGTAAGTATTCACCTCAGTGTAGAATTCGTCAAAAGATTTCTCTTTCGATACTGACGGAATAGACGACATTTTCTCTTTAGCTAGGTACTGAAATATCCTTTGCTCAGTGTAAATTGGATTTATGGTACTACAAGCACTCTGCACTTTACACACATCCCATTCATTGATTCTCACTTTTCCTGTCAAAAGAAATCAAATTCTAATTCAATTATAAAATAAAATGGTACGTAAGTTTTCGTAAAATCTAAACAATAAAATTAACTTTTAAATGTCAGACTACAGCAGTCAGACCGCAAACAATGAGAAACTAAAGAGGGATGTTCGCTACTATCCGATTCTTGTGTGAATCGATACAAAGGAATACAATCCACTCGATTTCTGTATCAATACAATGGTGTCGATTCTAGCATGATTCTCTAAACCTAAACTTAAATTTGACAGCAGTATATCCTTGTCATGCTCTATACAGAATGAAAAGGAGAGACTGATGTTAAATTTTGTTTTAAGTTTAGAGAATCAAGCCAGAATTGGCACCAATGGCATTCTATCCATGGGTCAATGCATGTACAAATAAGGAGGATCGGTTCGAAAATTCAGATCAAAATGTGTTAAATTCAAAAAAAAAAAAATACAAATATTAACCGTAATATTTATTCGTAACATTATTATTATTATTTCATATTTTTGGGACTATGCAGTAAGTCACCGTAACATACGGACGTATTCCATAATTTATCTAATTTAACTACTTATTCGTAAGTCATAACCAGATTATAATATAATAGTGTTTATAAAAGTGTTTCAGTGCTGTCTCTCTATATGTTAAAGTAAATATATCTTGACTGACCGAAACCAATGTGTGTTATCATCAACTATACTTATCTACAGTCCGCTACTACAAGCCCGAACATGGTTTTGCAATCCATCTGAAAATCAAAAAAGCTCATTGATTGCGATAACGCTGCAGATAGCACTGCAAAAGAAATATCCCAGAACTTTTTTAAGTAACATCGCGCGGGATAAGCCCTCCTGCTATTTTGTTTGCCAAAATACACGCAATGAATTTGGAAATGCAAAGTGAGTGGTTAACCATAGGTGAGTTCTGCATTCCATTAGCTCTAAAGTGGCGCACTTTAGTCATGATTGGTCTCCTGCTCTACTAAAATTCTATCTCAATGCCTTCAAAATGAGCCTCCCTGGCCAGAGTAACCTAGTAAGGTGGGGGAAAGCCGCTGAAAAATCGTGCTATACTAGTGGTGAGGCAATAGGTACTGCTAGGTACATATTAGTAGGTTGCAAGGTGCTCCTTGATAGGGGTCAATACTCACGTCGCCATGATAGAGTACTTGAAGTCATACGTGAAGCAGCAAGTGTTGCAGTGACTAGAGCCCAAAAAGGGTTAACCACAAATAAAAAAAACAAATTAACTTTATAAAAGAAGGCTTAACTGTTAACTTGAAAAGCATTATAGAATACCAGAGGATATTGGTGTTTCGTCATCCAGGCCGGACATAGTCCTCTTTTCTAGGCACATCAAACACATAGTACTAATAGAGCTTACTGTACCGTGGTAAACTAACATTCCAAAAGACCACACAATAAAATTGAATAAATATTACGATCTAACCAATGAACTAACTAAAAATGGCTATCTAGTTAATTTATATGCGGTAGAAGTAGGAGCGAGAGGCATAAAAGCAAAATCTCTCTATAAACTTCTAAAAGAAGTGAGAATAGGTTCAATTTTAGGGCGAAACTAAGGCTGCACAAACGGGCTCCTATCAAATTTGGCTGGGAAGGGCGGGCAATTCAAGCAGTGAAGGTGAGCGTTGATGCGCATCTTAAAGGGTACCTCCTTAAACGTACACCTGGGTCACAAGTCCAGGGAACTGCTTAGAGTTTCTCTCCCTCCAAGTTGATGAAAAGATTAGTATCATTTGAAAATAATCTATTTATCTAACTTTTATTAATCGGTATGTAATTTTCACTGGTGCGTCCCTAGCTTACGGTCACAGACTATAAAAGGTATTTGAATGAATGAGCTAAAATCAGCTAAAATAAATACTGGGCCATATTCTGGCATAGATTTTGCCAATCGTGTCATTCTAGTTTGATTCGCTAAATTTAACATCAGTCTCTTTTTCATACTGTATAAAACGTGACAAGGATACTTACACTATTATCAGCATATATCTCTGTCTGAGTATCATGCCAGAATCGGACTCAACGAGTGGATTGCCATTAAAAAAATATAAATGACCAATCACTCACTCTCATAATGCACATTCACTCATTCTCTGCTCATCTCATCATCATAATAATCGTTTCAATATTACATTCTAACCTCTCACTAGAATTTTAATTTTAAAATCAACTAAAATTAGGTAAGTCCTTTTAAGTACCATGAAAATATTAAAATTAAAAATGTTTATGAATCTAGCTTAGTAGTACCTATCTATGTAGTTAGCTTAAAGGTAACGTAGGTACCTGTAAATTATATATGGTAAGGTAGGTATAGGTACTACTCTGTGTAAGAAAAAGTATTACATTATGTATAATACCTAACTATAACTACCTAACCACAAATTAAAGTAGGTAGGTACTTATTAAAACTTTAGAGATAAGTAATAATAACTTGGAATGAAAGCCCATTTGAAGGCCGTTTATTATTAACAGACTCCAATTAAAATCTGGCTAAGTGCGAGTCGGACTCGCGCACGAAGGGACCTGTACAAAAATACGGTAAAAAATGGGAGCAACCCATAAATATTGATTTTACTTTAATTTAATTATTTATGAATTTTAAAGGTAAATATACAATGAAAACATTCTCTAAATGTTTCAAGTGTCTATCTTTGGCAGTTATTAATAAAGAGCATAAACGGCAAAATATCACATTTTCATGGACCTAGTGGATATCCGTGCGGGTAGCACAAAATTGGTTTTTAATGCGTTTTCAATCCGGAAAGGACATTGGGCAAAAATGTATGGACGTTGCACCCACGTCCGCCACGGCTTAAACTACATTTGTTTGAAAGGTATTATAATCATGATCATCTGTGCCAAAGCGCGTGTACAGAAATATGATTTTCATATCAAATATACTGATTGCACAGCAAATATACTGATTGCACAGCAAATATACCGATTGCATAGAAAATTAACTAGAGCTTCGACGCAAAATACTCACACTCATAAAAAAATAACTATTTTTGCAACAGGTTTCCAATGGGAATGCTTAATGAAGCATTTCAAAACTTGCTCAACATTGGGCCAATTTTGATGGTAATAAAAATAAAGCGAGTGTGCTTATGATCACATGACTGAAGTGAAACTTCTTTAGCTCCAATGATCTGAAAATCAAAAACTTAACCAGAAGATTTGTTGATAGAAAATAAAAAACCAATCCGCGCTGAAAAGTTATCACCCCCCAATCCGCACTGGGTCCGTTGTCACTCACCAATCAGCACTGGGTCCGTTAACATCCACCAATCCGCGTTGGGTCCGTTATCACCCTCCACTCCGCATTGGGTCCATTATCACCCACCAATCCGCACTCAGTTCGTTATCACCCTCCACTCCGCATTGGGTCCATTATCACCCACTAATCCGCGCTCAGTCCGTTATAAGTCGCCAATCCGCACTGGGTCCGTTATTATCCAGCAATCCGCACTGGATCCGTTATCAGCCACCAATCCGCGCTAGGTCCGTTATCACCCACAAATCCGCACTGGGTCCATTGTCACCCACCAATCCGCACTAGGTCCGTTATTACCCTCCAATCCGCACTGAGTCCATTATCACCCACCAATCCGCGCTGGGTCCGTTATCATTCACCAATCCGCACTGGGTTCGTTATCACCCACCAATCCGCGCTGGGTCCGTTATCACCCACCAATCCGCGCTGGGTCCGTTATCACACACCAAGCACTAGATTTATGTATTTTGTGACGGGTATTGTGCATTGTTTACCGATGAGTCACCAATGACACTAATCGTAACGCCAGTTTACCCCCCAAGTCAAGCGTGCCTAGAGAATAAGTTTTACTTCAATAATTAGATTCTTATGTCAATTAAAATGGTGTTTCTCTTAGGTAAACTGCTGTATATATTAAGACGAATGTAATGAGCCAAAACTCGATTTGTTTACTAGTAGGCAGTCCCAGGTCCATCAGCCACCTTCCAGTCCATCATTAGGTCCTCGTCATCAGGAGAAATGAACAGAATGTGTTAAAACGAATCTGATAAGCCCAAACTCGATATGTTTACTAGTAGGCAGTCCAAGGTTCCATCAGCCACCTTCCAGTCCCATCATCAGATCAGCTCGATGGTACAATAATATTGTTTTTTCATCTAATCTACATATAATTGCCAAGTTTTATTATGTTAATATGAATCTCATGAGCCAAAACTCGATTCTTTTACTAGTAGGCAGTTCAGGGTCCACCAGCCACCTTCCAGTCCATCATCAGGTCCTCGTCATTAGGAAAAATGAATAGAATATGTTAAGACGACTCTAATGAGCCCAAACTCGATATGTTTACTAGTAGACAGACCAGGGTCCATCAGCCACTTTCCAGTCCACCATCAGGTCCTCGTCATCAGGAGAAATGAACAGAATGTGTTAAGACAAATCTAATGAGCCCAAACTCGATATGTTTACAAGTAGGCAGTCCAAGGTTCCATCAGCCACCTTCCACTCCCATCATCAGATCAGCTCGGTGGTACCATAATATTGTATTGACATCTAATTTACATTACACACATATATTTTCAAAGTTTAAAGTAAATCTGACCGCTTAAAGTTGGGCAAATTGAGTCCAAACGAGTCAGTTACATACATACAAACATACAGGTGAAACTAATAAAAACGTGTTAAAAATCAATCAAGCGACAGGGCACAATCATAACGAAATAAGACGAAGACTGCATATGAGTCGACAAGTTGCAATTACAAGTTCTTCAACCGCCGTACCCCTACCCCGTTAACCGTTTTGAGGACCGACTGGGCGCCATAATGTGACGTCATAGCTGTCAATTCAAACTAAATAGGTAGAGTGAGCAAATAAAGTTTTTAATTAAAAGATTAATTGAGAAAAACCATCATCATCATTTTTGCAAACCGTACTTTTCAGCGACATTTGACAGATTGAGGTCATTGGCTTTCCTATTCTTATTTGAATCGCACTATAAGTGCAAGCGCAGGATCGGTCGGCAGGCTTTGTCGTATATCTGGTTGTATAGTACGATATGGCACATAATTATGGTTACTAATAATATAAAATAAGGGTATTATTATATGAATTTATTTGGCTACTTTATACTAGCTTTTATGCCCATGTGGCATATCTTTTTATTACCAGGATAATTTTTTGCGGTGTCATAATAAAAAAAGGCAAATTTTCCATAGATGTTTCGATTCATACTAATTACATTGTTGGCGGAGCTAGGTGTTATTTGCCCATTGTCTTTTTGAAGTTAAAAAATGCACGTCGCTCTGTTCGCCCTCTTATGGATGAAATAGATGCCCTTTGAGGAGCAGACAGCTGGCGAACAAGACGGTATAATTACGCATCTGGTCAAACTATTTTTTTTACAATCACAAGGTAAGGTAATAAGGTTATAAACCATGCCAAAAGCTCACTGTAGGTATGTCTGATGAGATTAAAGCAAGAAGTTGAGAGAAAGCGGCCGGAATGAATCAACATAAGGGGTGTGACATTTCATCCTGATAACGCTGGACCTCGCACACCAAAAATTAAGAGAATCAGAGAGTAAGCTGGGTGTTAATGCATCCTTCATATAGTCCTGACCTTACATCTTCAGATTTCCACCTGTTTCGGTCTCTTCAGAACTCTTTAGGCAGTATCAGGTTAACATCTGGTAACTAACATTGTGACGAGAATTTTATATATAACATTTACATCCCATGTTTAACAATTTACTATTACAATAGGTTAGCCAACAATTGGTTTTTAATATCATTGTTACTAGTCAATAAAGCCAGTTAGACAGTTTCTAAATTATATACAGTTTTTTTGCAATATTCAGCTGCTATAAAGCTTTGCCTCGTGACCTTGGTTGTATTAACACAGCACTTCTGTGTCAACAAGTATGTCGCTAGGTTTATTATCACGTCAAGTGTAATAATTCACAGAATCTCATTAACACATTTATTTTTCTTTTCAGGTAGGTACGCAATGTTCAACGAAAAGGTGGTACTTATAACTGGTGCTAGTTCAGGAATTGGTGCTGCTACTGCTCCGGAATTCGCTAAGCTAGGAGCTTCTTTAGTTTTAACGGGAAGAAATAAGGAAAATTTGGATGAAGTAAGCAAACAGTGTGAAAATTTATCACCAAGGAAATTAAAACCGCTCGTTGTAATTGGTGATATAAATAATGAAAGTGACGTAGAAAATATTATTAAACAGACATTGGATCATTATTCTCGTCTTGACGTTTTGGTAAACAATGCAGGGATATTGGAATCTGGTTCAATAGAAACTACTTCGCTAGCTCAATATGACAGAGTTATGAATACAAATGTGCGCGGGCCGTATCAATTGACGATGCTAGCAGCGCCACACTTAGTAAAAACTAGAGGCAATATTGTTAATGTATCTAGCGTAACTGGCTTGAGATCATTCCCTAACGTTTTGGCATATTGCATGTCCAAATCCGCATTAGATCAGTTCACTAGGTGCGTATCTCTTGAATTGGCATCTAAAGGTGTAAGGGTCAACGCAGTTAATCCAGGCGTGATTGATACTGGTATACATATGAAGTCAACTATGAATGAGCAGCAATATCAGGAATTTTTGATAAAGTGTAAAGAAACTCATGCCATTGGACGAGCTGGAAGCGCTAAGGAGGTTGCATCTGTTATTGTATTCTTAGCTGACGACAGACTCGCAAGCAATATCACTGGGGCCACCATTCCAGTTGATGGTGGACGTCATGCAATGTGTCCACGATGATATAAATTAAAAACTTATCTTACGTTTCTTTTGTTTTTTTTATTCTTCGATTAACTTACACATTTCTGAACCCATTTTGACGATTCCTTTTTGTTTGAATAAGTTTTCCTTCGCGATGGTCCCATTTGATGAGTATTTTCAAAGACAGACAATGGAATTCCTAAATAAGAAACAATACTCAACATCTCAGCTATAGTGGTACTGCACGTAGTGCGGTTGGTGATTGTACGTAATCGTAGAACCTATATAAGGAGGAGCTCGATGGCGCAGATTGTTAGCGCGTTCGGCCTGCAATCGTAGAAATTAAGCAACTTTCGCAATGCTTGCTCATTGGACGGGTGAACAAAAACTTAGTATCGCGAACTCCTCCGTGATTGGGAAGGCGCGTTAAGCCGTTGGTCCCGGCTGATGATGAGTAGTATAATAAAGAGAATGCTTGACATACATAACAGAAAATCAGTGTCTATAAGTCAATACTGATATCGTACTCGGAGACGACAATTTAATTATTGTATTGCTTGGAGCCTAAAAAAACTACCAAGGCTCTTTCACAAGCAATACAACAAAGAGCCTTATTTTTACTTATAACTTTATTAGATTTATTATTGACAAAGCAAAACTGCTTACACAGCTAGTCAAATAAAAGCTTTAAAACAATACTCGTTGCCTACCAAAGAATCGATATACAACTAGGGTTGGTAAAATCAGGAGGATATTAAGGCTAAGTTCATATGTCCGAGCGGTACTGCGTGAAAGTACCTACCGCGCTGTACAAGATCAAAGCAAACGGTTATTATCGTTTACATAACCGAGCAGTGCCGAGTCGTACCGAAGCTGTCATGTGGATTGTCGATTCCTAAAAACGCGCGCGGCGCCCCGGTTTCCGCGCGGTCACATGAACTTAGCCTTAAGTTACTTGAAGAATCGTGAATATATTGGGTAATTATACATTGTTAACAATACATTTTATATAAGAATACATCAATTGACAATTCAGCAAATTCAGCCCTGTACAATACAATTTATTATTTCAAGAGCAACGGATGTAACTATTTTTGTCACTTCGATAAGGCCCTCTGTGGAACATGTAACTACAGCATCCAAAATATCATCAGCAATGTTTCTCGACTCCAATCTCTAGAAACAACAAAATTTTATTATTTTAAGGAAATGAATTAATAAAAGTACTTACTTCAAATTCAATTATGATTTAAGTAAGTATTCAACAAATAACCCAAATATACTCACTACTTTTAGTATCTCATTTTCCTTATAATTCGTTTCTTCTGCTATTTCTTTCCTAATATTATCAAAACACTCTTCAACTTGCTCTTGTTTTTCTTCACATTTATTAAGTTTCGCTTCTACTTTTAGTAAGAATTCCGTGTCATTAAAGTTAAAACATTGATTATTCATTTGTTTATTCCCAAGATTGATTTTGTCAGATATACATGATGTAACGTCAGTTGTAATGTTTTTTAAAATTGCATCGATTTTTACACTTTGTTTCTGAAAAAAAAGAAAATAATTTGAGAACGATGAGGTTTTTCACTCGGCTATTGAGGTATTTATTTGCTTGAAATCAGATAGGTACCTACCTCCAAACATTTTTTCACAATGCCATCGTTACCAAAAAGGTTTTGCAACGTAATAATTATTTCGGTTTTCAACTCTTTTAAATGATTTTTAAAATTTTGGCGTATCTGCTCAGCCTTCGCTTTAACCTGTTCTGACCAGATTATTATTTTCTCTTTTGTATCTTTTGCCAATCTTTTAACAGATTCCCAAACATTTTTGGCTGTTTGTTTTATATTATTCCACAAGTCGCTTATAGAACGATTGTCATTATTATAATACAAAACTATGACATTTTTGAAACTGTGTACTTCATCTAAATTAAGACGGTTTTCCTGAATATTCCCATAATCACTAATGTATTTAGAGGCAGTAAACTGAAAGAAATATTTATACCACATAATAATGTGATTACCTTTAAATTAATTTAACAGTTACCAATTAATGGAGTTTGTCTACGTAAATTTATTCAATAATACATTAGTACATCAATAAATATTGTTCACTTACTTGATACAAAATAATAATTTGAAGCGCCAAAACAATAGGAAGCTTAGACATTTTATTTGCAATGAAGTGAGAAGGCCTTGTGTCGTAACATTTAGTTTCCTAGTCCTTTTATATTGCTTGTTCAAGTGCTTAATTGAGAATTATCAGGCGTTTACTTACTTCAAATAATCTGCAGAACGATTTTCAAACAAACTCTGATTATGTAGTTAGGTAAAGTTATCAAGCATTGATCTCTCCCTCGAACACATGTATTGATATTTGACCATATTATTATCAAGGATGATACTTCACTATCACGATGATCATATTCTTGCTCATAAGTTTTAAATATAAGTAAAGAGGTATGACGTGCATACTCGAAAAAAAAAATAAGTTAAAGTCAGTTACGGAATCGTAATATTTCTTTATGAACCATTCATAATTTCATATAAATCTTGATACCTAAAAATGAAGTTTTCTTATAATAGTGGTACGAAAGACTGACTGAACTGAAACAAAGAAGACCGTTGGATCCTTGCCAAGGCAGACCATAGTAAAAAAATACGATAATAATGCAATTTGTACTTATGTCTTTAATAAAAAAAAATGTTACAATTTAAGTTTCAATAATTAACGGTGTTGCCGATGATATTGTTGAATACAGATGACGCTGAGCAGCTTCCTATTTCCATGACAATTTTGGTGGTTACTAACCCTGCGGAGACGAGATGAGTTCCCACGCAAACCTCAAGTGCTGCTGGTACGATGGCCAAAGCCAGGTTTAGACGAGCAATCTGAAAAATGAATTATGGTGTTTAAATAAGTATTTATTCGAAGCGGCAGCCGTTAAAAATGGTGGTCATTGGGTAAGGAGATCTGCCCCGCAGTATTCAGATATGACAGGATAGAGCGCCGGTGACCCGGATTGGGAATCACTTTTAAGGTATCAAGTATTTGTTGTTATAGTTAGTTCTGTTTGTTGTATTCTATTGCAGCTAGTTGTATAAGATTATAAGGTAAAAGATGAGAGCTCAGCGACACTGCCGGATTTAGGGGAGGGCAACCGGGGCGAAAGCCCCGGGGCCTTCACAAACGGGGGGCCCCCACAATAGAGACTTCGGAAAGAATCTTTCAAATTCCAACTAGTAAACACTAGTAAACATCTTTTCCTTTGATATTTTTTTTTGCTCTTTTACCTTTACCTACAGCCAGGGCCGAATTTAAGGCAGGGCACCTGCCAGCTGTGGCCCAGGGGCTTCCACAACAGCTTAAGAAATAACAACATTTCGATGGGTCAACAAGCATGCAAATCCTATGTGGCCCGGGGCCTCCACAACAGGATAAAAGATAACAAAATTTCGATGGGTTAACAAGCATACAAATCCTAAGTGGCCCGGGGTCTCCACAATCCTAAATCCGGCCCTGCTCAGCGATTAAGATCACAAGAGCTTATGAGGTAGGGAGACAGAATTCATGTAATGGGCAAGTTGAGGTTTGCACACTGGTACTTTGGGTATCTAGTTAGTCGCAAATCGCACTGAACACCAAATAGGGGTGCAACAAACGTTAAATAATTTTGACTCAAATATCAGGAAAGAGAATGAAATAGAGAAAATTTTTGATTAAAATAATTAAACTCTTTCTATTTAGGAAAGAAATTACCGATATGGCGCTTTGGGCGACGAAAACTGCACCTCTAGCCTCAGTTTTAAAAGCTACACTGCCGAGACAAGCTCCCACGTCAAAAATTTTCCCAGGATTATCGTTGATGCATTTTTGCATATCAATTAATGCAGTGTCCGCGAAGGCTAGCGCTTCTTCGGAGTAGTTCTTCAGATTTTGAATCTGAATGCTGATCTCTGCGATACGTTCGTCTGCGCAGTCCATAGTTTTTGCTAGCGTGTCGTTAAAAAGAGCGGCTGCATCATTGCGGTGTGACTGTGAATCATAAAACCAACATTATTATATTTCAAATAGTAGGTACTTTGGCCCGTATAGACCATAATACCTACTATTTTAAATATCATCTATTGGATAGAGCTGTATTCTTATTATTGTGTGTCGCAGTTTTCATCCTCAATATAACATAGAGCTCATCATCTTTATCACACAAAGAGACAATGTGATAAAGATGATGAGCTCGGTGCTGCAGTGATTAGTGCATACGGTCTACGATTGAGGTAGTTTGAAGCACGGAAGAGCTAAAGATAACCTTTGGTCACTAATTTTATTATAGGCCATTGTGAAAATTGCTAAATTTCCACAATCCCAAACCGAACGCACTAGCCATTACGTTATCGAGCGCCTTTTATCAGTATCGAGATAGATAATATTTATAGTAATAATTGCCGCTTCTAGTCATAAAATAAACAAACTAAACTTACATCCACACACTCTTTGACTGCTGCTCCAGAACCAGTTATTTTATCGACAACTCCTTGTATAGTCTGAGTGACACGATCACTCAGTTTTTGCAAATCTTCGATAATCTTCTCGCGAACTAACTTGGCCTGCTCTACTAGGCCATACTCGAAGGTCTTCACCGCTTCTAAGGCATCGTTGGCAGCAGCGCGCAAATTTGTAATGAGGTCTTCAATTAGTTTCCTTTTTATTGATTTAAAATATATATTAAAATTAAATCTTATGTTTGCACGCACACATAAAAATAAAACACTGTTTCAACGATTTATAAATGCTTTTTTAAATATTTTTATAAATATCTCTACGTTTCGGATCCTTTACAGGCTCCGTACTCAAGAGTATGATTCTTAATGAAAGGAGAATGGTCACTTTACTATGGGAGTTGGGCTAGTTTTTTTTTCATTGCGTCTTATTGGAATAAGTGTTAAACAATAGGGAATCAGGTGTATATTGCGTAGGCAAAATATCATTAGAAACTTAAGTGGTGGTTTAAAGAAAATATTAAATTACGTAAGCATTTTAAAGTTCCGTCATATTTAGATTCGATAAATTCGATATTTATACCATACTTAATTATTACTAGGTATACTACTTTAAACTGTATTTAATTAGGTTGTGACCTTTTGTCTTCTATTTTGGACTGGGAGTGAAACAAAAATTGAATGCACTTCGTCAAATCCTATCAGCGGACAGCGTATATTCGTAAACTGTTGCGTTGGTGAGCTGCTACCTATCTCTATTTATTCCAAACATCTCAGCACTCATATAACCGCACATCAACAACGCCACATTTATTGAATCTGTTTATACTTATTCTCTTTACTCTCAAGCTGCACCTTTGATGCTCTGTCAACCCAACAATGGATACAATATTATTTAAGGTTTAGTAATCAAAAATAAATAAGACAAAATATTTTAATAATGATACTTAACTATTTATTGATAACACATTTATCCAAATTGACATTTTACATACACACTGCCAGCATTTTCTTGTGTAACAACAGATGCCATTGTAAACAAAAATAATAGGCTAGTTTACTCATGTCGAATTGTATTAAATAAATGTTTATTTCTTAAAGTATTTAGTCTAAGGAACCTTAATATATCGATTTCACTTTATAAAAGCAGAAGATTGCTGTAGAAATTTAATTTAAAAAAATATTTTTTAGTCTATATTTTTTAAACACTAAAAACGCTGTTCGCCACATCCGCCATGATTTTGACGTCTCTTGTGGTAAACAACTAAATGTCATTCGCGTGTTACTGTAGGTGGATTCTTTCGTTCTTCTTTCATTCTTAAAAGTGTTTTAAGATAAATTTAGTCAGACTAAATTTATCTTAAAACACTTTTAACTTTAGGAAAGAAAAAACAGTAAACTTAGTTTTTTTTGGACAAAACTAATTTCCATAATTAGTGCCGGCTTTGTGAAAGCAGAAAGCACAAATCTGCCAAGAATTGACGCATTGATGGTTGGTGAATTTGTTGCACTAAACCCCGATTTCTGCTCTGAGGAGCAGAGAAGCGACAAGGCATCTATGTAAATACAGTGCATTTAGTATTACAATGTAGTAATAAACATAAAACTGATACAACATATGAATAAGTGTAATAAAGTTGCGTAGGTTAATTTCTTTCGGCACTTTAATCCACAACTTTCCTGGAGTCTTCAAGGATGTGTTTTTATATTCTCGTACAATACAGTAATGATAATTACTTTATTTTTCGTGGTATTTATTAGAAATTATGTTTTTTTTTATTATAAACTCAGTTAAAAGTAATTTTCTACGTGTTTACGAGGTTTTGTTTACCACAGTTCACGTCATAGCATAGATAATCTATAGACTGAAATGGCCGACAGCGTTTTTGTATGTCCATGAAAAGTCTATTTTAAAATTAAAGATTTGTAGCTTTCTAGGTTTAAAAAAAATACAATACATTTTTTTTGGTCTAATAGAACATTTATTAACCATTTAAAACCTTTTTCCAAAAAGGGTCAACTAGCCTATTGCAATGAACTAAGAGTCCAAATATCTCTGTCACAGAATCACTAAAGGACAATGTTGAGTCCAATTCTCTTTTTCCCAAAAAACAGTTATTAACGGAAGATTACTCAACTCAATATTAGAACTATTCTGCCATAATAGACCACTGAAAACACAAATTCAATTCAAAAGTGAGAACTGTATGTAGTAAGTCACTCGGCGGAACAAACAAACACAACTACAATTGACAGCTACGTTCACTTGCTTATGGTATATTTCGATTCGATTCTATTGGAATCGATATCCTACACAATTGATTTATAAATGTTTTATTTTTCAATGCAAATAAATGCTTTAAATGTTCAAACCATAAGTTAATTTATTTATGATTAAGTAATTATATATAACATAAATAACTTAAACAAAAATATATTTCCTTTTTTAATCTAAGAGTACTGCATACTTTTTGTATGCGGTCTATTTTGATGAAAAAAATAGTCCGCAGACAAGTTATTTTTTTAGATGCAATGAAAGAGGTCAATCCCTGGTACAGTGAGATAGTCACAACACAGGTCTTACAGATGATAACTTTATGAATTTAATGTTATTTATCATGATATAATATTGGTAAAATCGTATCCATCATACAACGTCGTTTTTTTTTGTTTAGAATATTTAAATAAAGAAATATAATCGATGTTTTTTCCTACGATAGTATCGACTAGGTGATATAACTTTTGTCTATGGTTATATGGTCTATTCTGTGGTTGAATTTTTATTCAGTTTAATACCCATTTATTTATTATTTTAAAAATCCGCTTAATATTTAAATAATAATCACACATATGAAATGATAATTCAGGAGAAGATTTTTGATACATAAAGGTGTCAAGCGCAATCTAGACGGATTTGCCCATTCTCCTTTAACAAGTTACCTTCGTAAGACTTTAATTGATCGTTCGGATTTTTATCGTGATTTCGGGGGGCCTACCGCCTATCGGGATTGCTATGGTTAGAGCTATATTTCTGACCGCTGAAGGTTTCAAATGCCTCGCGTTCTTTTTTTCTTTAGCATTGGTACTAACAATATTAAAGAAAATGAGCGTGAGGTATTTAAAAACCTTCGGCGGAGAGAATTAACAAAATGAAAATCATAAGCTACTTATAGCTGTAGCAATAGCAATCCCAATAGGCGGTAGGCTCCCTAATATTATTAGATTAAAGAATCCGAAACGTAGAGATATGAATGAATTATGATGAGATATGGCACATGGGCATATTAAATATGCCCATGTGCCATATCTTTTGACTACTAGGATATATTTTTACGGTGGCATAATAAAAAAGGCTAGTTTTTCATAGATCTATCGATTCATACTAATTACATTGTTGGCGGAGCTGGGTGTGTTTTGCCCATTGTCCTTTGAAGTAAATCCATGGTATACTTTTGGAGTTTATCCCGGACATACATACATACAAAATTCTAAAAAACTGTATTTTTGGCTTCGGTATCGATTGTAGATCACACCCCAAGTATTCTTTTAAAAACATATTCAATGTACAGTTTTGACTTTCCTACCATTTTATTATATGCATAGATTTCCTAAACTGGATGGCGAAATAAACCTAAGTGTCTGGCAAGCCGTTTATTCAATCACAGATAACCACCACAACTAAATCCAAACTTCTTTCTGTGGTACAAACTAATGGACATTGTTATTGGCGTAATTTATATGTTCCATGGAGAAAGTATTATTTATTTATCATTTGAACCGTGTCAGAATCAACCAGTAACAAAGCAAATAAGAGTCTATATACTCTTACCCGCCTCGCGCACTCACACACGCACACGGCCACTATACATATACAAAACACATGCAATTTTGCTGGCCGGCAGGTGAAAAAACCGCGCCATATATTCTCATACATTTATGCTTCCGCGGCACTGGCCCGGTGAGTGGAAAAGCTTCCAATCTCTTATTCTGTGGAGCCCTGGTTATAAAGTAATCAATATGTTTTTTCAGCTTTATATGTAAATTTCATATAAAAGTTTAAAAGTACAAGTTGCTGAAAACTTACCTGGTAATATGATGCTGAAAACAATTATGAAGCTTGTTTTTCTGTTAGAGCACGTTAAATTGACAACTGGAAATGTTCCGAAATTTTTTTAGATTTGCTTCTTAGGTTTTCACGCACATCACCCATTAAATAAAACTAGTTTTTACGGGTTAATGCACGAAACTTTATTTATTTATTGACGTTACGCAACCTATTCAGGCTCGTGTTTTTAAAAAAAATAATTCTGACGAAGTAGCCTGAAAAGTGAAAACTTAAGAAACAAATTAAAAAATATTTCGGAACATTTTCGGTATTTTTTAGATATTTCCCAGAGAATAACTCCACCCCACCTGATGTTAAGTGGTGTTGAGTTCAGATGCGAAGACATTTGATAAGCCTCAGACAGACAGACAAATGGAAGGAAACCGTTCCTTTCATCTGTCTGTCTGTATTGCATGAACCGTATATTATATAGATTCTCTGAATTCTTACAGACTTATTTCTTTTGTCGTGGTCACCGTAAATATAAGTGTAGTCAAAATAAAATAGAATGATAAATTATTAAGTACCTAATATTACCAAAGACTTCCACCTGCCTTCGCTGTCGGATTAAAGAATGTTCTTCTGTTGGTGTGGCTAGGGTAAAGCACACCTAGAATAAAAGAACAATCTACATGTTGAAAATACACAACTATACAATACACACTACTACTACTACATTCTTTGTTGGACTGGGATCAAAAGACAAACATTGAATGTATGAGCTGATAAGTCTCCTTATAGTAAATATCTACCGATGGATCTGTTGCGACTGACGGGCTATACTATTATTTCTATGTAAACATAAGGCCGGCAAATTATGGTCGTTTATTATGGGTTTCATAAAAAAATGGTGAGATTTTATGAGGCCACGATGCAAATAGAACTTTTTAAGTGTTTTACATCGCTTTAAAATTTTCATACTTAGTTGATGTTACCCAGGCTTACAAACTCCTCAGCTGGAAATCGAAAACGAGCCATCCGCGTGGCTGGCGAACTTTCTATTACTGAATCAATGATACTTGTTGACGAGGTTTGAACTTTTGAATAACAATTGAAAATGAAATGCAACATGCTAAAGTAGAACGAAATAATTTGTGGCGATGTAATAAGTATCACTAAGGGTCGGTACATATCTGACTGAAAATATGTCGCGTATTATCAGTCGCGTAACGCCAGACTAGGCAAATAAACAATAAATCATTCAACCTTGCACACCCAACCGAAGATGCGTTAGTGCATCGAGCATACAACGATGATACGCTCTACGCATTTTCCGTTAGATATATACCGATCCTACGGCTCAATATAACATAGCGGTCAATGGAGAGTGACAGGAGAATTAAGATAGGTACTTAATTGATATCGCTTAGATTGTTTTGATAAAGCGGCTGCTAATTGCCCAGAGCGAACATACAGCACAGAGCGAAGCTAACGAATGGCACTTGAGACCTTATAGCAAGTGCAAATACTCTAGGGCGGGAACGAAAAGTGTATTTAATTATCATGGTACTATCATCATAAGCGTAAATGCTCCGTCCGATCCGATTGTTAATTTTTTTTTGCTGTCCTTGACTTACGAACCTATTTAAAGCACTCAGGTATGATGGGAGTATCTCAAAAGGTGCAAGATAGCCTACTTATGTACCTAATTCTGTCGCGCTCGAGTAAATCCCAAAATCCCCGCTTGGGCTCCCTACTACCATAGCAATTATTAACCTATGACACGTTGCTGTTAAAACAGCATACATTGCAAACAATATATTAGTTCCAAATAAATTAAAATTATTAGATCCAGCTAGCCAAACAGATAGTATTTTACTTACCCCAACTGCAAACAAGAATATCAAACAAATTCGCATGGTGTAGTTGACATTCAAACTGGGTTGATAGTAATTTCAAACTAATTCCTATAACTCTTATATACCATTTTTATACTATTGAAGTACTTATGCGATTGCAATGGTTGAAGAGAATCAACATAATTTTATCTAATCAGTTTCATGGGATGCTGTGTAAACAAGATGGTCAAATATTTGGAGTTGTTAGTACTTACGCGTTAGTTTGTCTAATGTGCATTCCGATAGCTTACCTTAAGGTTATTTTGTAATTACGCCGATTCAGTTATTACAGAAAATTACTTACATCCTATCTAAACCTGAAAAATATTTGAAACTAGAAATTAGGTATATAAAATCTGGCAACCCTTCATCAGCTTTTTTGATCCGTTAGGAAATAAGACTCATATTGGCAAAAAATACGGGATTTAAAAAAAACGCGGGACTAATGAAAAGAATATTGAAATGTTTGTTAATAGTTATAATTTAAAGAAGATCGTGTTAGTTTTAACTTGTCTGTGTTAGATGTTACATATTTGTAAAAATCAAAGTAGCTATAAAATCAGAGTTGAAAATGCGACAAACGATAAAATTAGAAAAATGATAGGGAATCCACCCCTAGAAAATCCTTCCATTATGTTTTTCACTTCACTATGGCCACGTTTTTGTCATCAAAAGACGTTGCAATTTCCAGGTTTTTTTATAATTTGAAATTATTCGTATAGCAGTTCTATAGCTTTTTGAAAATGTTCATTGATATTTTATTGGAGATTTAAAAATAGCATCAATTAAAGGACGTTGCATTTTAAGAATGCTCGCTTATGCTCTTGTGCGCTCAGCCCGTTTTCAATACAAAAAGAAATCGAATTAAGTAGGTCCTAGTGAGGTGTTTTTGGCAATTAAAACATTTGGAAAACCGATTTTGAAATGAGTTTCTGCAAGTATGGATATTTTGAACGATGGCTAATTTCTGTATTTTGACTTGTTTTCACCACTTCGATGGTTTCTTAAGAAAATTTGGAAGTTTAATTAGATACTTATGTGTTTACTAACCTTAATTACTTACAGTATGTATGTGCCAATCTAAGCAAATAAATAATAACGAAAATATAATATCTGTATCTGTAAATAAACTCGGTCTCATTATCATGAATGATGAAACGCCTTTATTAGGATTCTTTCAAGGTCTGCGTGATAATTTAAGTTTTATTTAGAATTTATAGATAAGGTATTATGAGAAAAGCTGTGAAAAGACGGACAGACGCTCATAGGGAAACAAAAAGGGTTGTTTGTTTCCTCTGAGGTATATTTTAAATTTACACTAGAGTGTTATTCCTAAAGTGCAATGTGTGTAATGCATACGTATTAATGTCCTTGCTTCAGGGCTTCGGTTGTAAAGTATAAGGAACGTTGTGGGTGTTTGTACCATTGACTACTGCCGTATCGTGTTATCACCAAGGATTTAGGTGAGAAACGAGGAGAAGCAGAAAAGAGGCCGATGGAAAGTCAAGAGGTATGAAGTGTGGAACGGATAAGCCGCTCTTATCAAAAGAGAAATAAATACCCTTAGCACGAAACAATATCGAATTCGAATATTTTGCGAGTCCTAAATGTAATTATCACATGTGTACTGATTTTCAGTTCTTGTTACGTACTTTGTAGCGCTGCTGTTCAAGTTTCCATACAAAATTTGACATTGACATTTCGAACTCGTAAACTATTCGAATACGATAATGGTTCGTGCTAACCCCTAGCAAAGGTAGGTACCCCACCTACAGTACGTCTATTAAGAAACATGTTGCAATCTCTCTTTTGATTTTCGATTACATATTTGAATTTTTGTCTCTGGCTGCTATGGAAGTCATCAAACAAGGACACGTGAAAAAAATATCATCGGTATCTAATATCAAGAAAACTACCCAGAACCTCAGCACAGAACAGAATGCAAATATGTTGGTCCACGCGCCCCAGCTTCAATGTGGCTTCAACTAAGCGTAGCGAGATCTTCGCCCTAGACTTCAACAATGATGAGTTCCGTCATGTTGCGATTTTGCCGTGTATTGAAGTAGGTATTGCATATTAAATACTAAAGTCAAATTAGAATTATCGAGTACGATAGTTAGAATCAACTTAGAGGTGCTTACAGATGCCTTATTTGTGTAACTTTTTTAGCTGGTTGGAAAAGCCGAAATCGATAAGTTATGTCCCATTGGCACCTTTTTTTAGATTGGAAGGGGGATAGCGATAATATGACGACCTCTGTGGTCGAGTGGTTTGTACGCCAGGTTTCATGGTGTCGCCGACTAGAGAGGTCCCGGGTTCGAATCCCGGTGTACAGATGTTTGTGTGATGAATACGAGCATTTGTACTCCAGTCTTCGATGTTTAATAGTATTTCTATATAAATATACTTATATAAGTACTGGATATGTATTCTATCCGTTACCCTAGTAACCATAACACAAGCCATACAGTGCTTACTTTGGGGCTAGGCTAATTGGTGTGAGTGTTGGAAATATTTATATATCTAGTTCCAGAGTAAAAATTACTAAATATCATATACTTATAGGTTATGGATACCTATTTAAAAAATAATTCAAAAGAAATAATGTTCCTACCTTAGAAAGTATTACAAGTAACATACTCGTACCTATCTATTATAATATAAAAAAATGCAAACAGAATTACTTAAAAGGCGTCTTAGGTAACTTTTTACATAGGTAATTATTTTTCTTACTTACTCCTGCCGTGCCGTGATTCTATAATAATAGCTTCTCTGTTACACAGCTTGTCTTATCAGTTCAGGCGTTTGAAAATATTTCTGGAATATTTCTTATTATAATTTCTTCTACTTCGTCTGTGTGGAAAATTGGGTTTCCATACAAACTTCCACCGCCGTTTTAACCCTCTTAAAGGATGATTTTTGAGGATAAAACTACCCTTTGCCCTTAAGCGAGACTCAAACTTATACATACCAAATTTAATTTAAATCGGTTCAGCGGTTAAAGTGTGTAGAGGTAACAGACACAGACATAGACACACATTTTCACATTATAGTATTAGTATTTGTAAAAACATAATAAATTATGTACTATCGAAGGAATTGATTCCTGATCCACTTGCCCGATGATTCGCTTAATAATGTCAAAGTAGATAAGTTTTTCACCTCTGTGAAGTTAGCCCCCCACTTTTTGAATTTTATTATTATCTAGGTTGTTCTGGGTTGTTCTATGTTTGTTCTACATTGTTCCAAAGTATTATTTGAAAAAACTTAAATTTAAAGCTGCCAGACAAGAAAAACCGTTTTTCTATGGTAGCCCCCCATGTTTGGAAATTCAATATATTTTTAGTTGTTCCAAGTTGTTCTAGTTGTTCGGAACATCTGTTCCGAACATTGTTTCAAAGTATTATTTGAAAAAACTCAAATTTGAAGGTGCCAGACAAAAAAAAACTTTTTTATGGTAGCCCCCCATGTTTGGAAATTCAATATTTTTTAAGCTGTTCCAAGTTGTTCTAGTTTTTCCTAACATTGTTCTAAAGTATTATTTGAAAAAGCTAAAATTTTAAGCTGCTAGACAAAAAAAACTCATTTTATGGTAGCCCCCATGTTTGGAAATTCATTATTTTTTAAGCTGTTCCAAGTTGTTCTAGTTGTTCCTAACATTGTTCCAAAGTATTATTTGAAAAAACTCAAATTTGAAGCCATCAGGCAAAAAAACCGTTTTTGAGATAGCCCCCCATGTTTGGAAATTCATTATTTTTTTAGTTGTTCTAAGTTGTTCTAGTTGTTCCTAACATTTTTCCCAAGTATTATTTGAAAAAACTCAAATTTGAGCTGTCAGGCAAAAAAACCGTTTTTGAGATAGCCCCCCATGTTTGAAAATTTATTATTTTTTTAGTTGTTCCAAGTTGTTCTAGTTGTTACTAACATTGTTCCAAAGGATTATTTGAAAAAAATAAAATTTGAAGCTGTCGGGAAAAAAAACTTTTATTTATAAAATAAAATCGTACCAGACACAATAAATAAATCAAATATCAATTTAAACAATGACGATTGTACAACAACAGTACAACCGTTGGCTATATCGTTGCAATTTCATTTAATCATTTTGAATAAAATTAATAGTTATAAGTCAAGAAAACTTTAGAATATAGGGTAAACTCCCTAATTGTTGGCACCTTAAGAGTAGGTAGCATGTCACACATTAAATTACCATAAAATCACATCTAAATGAGTTAGTACTCAACACATGTAACAGTATCAAAGAAAGTAGTAAAATCTTTGTTTTCATAATGGTACAGTCAATGAAGGCAAAAATCAGCTACAACCTCCGATTTCGTTGAACCTCCATCGATTTTAGATGAAAATTGGTAAGTAGGTGGGGGATACCTCAAAAAACAAAAGTGACATAGTGCTAACTTGCGCTTTTGCCCTGAGGGTAGATACCACCCCTTCTCAGGGGTGAAAATTATTTAAAAAAAAATAACTCCAGGAATCGATAGGAAGACAAATTCTCAGCAAAATTTGTTATATTAAGTTTTCGGAATAAATCAATACTTTCTGAGTTATTAAAGATCAAAGATTGTGATTTTGCGTGATAAAAATACGTTTAAGCGGTTTTTCATAAATAACTCAAAAATTATGAGTTTTACAAAAAAAATATTAGTACCAAAATTGAAGCTAATAAAGAAACAAACAGACGCTAACTTGGAAAAACCTTCTAATTTTAATTCAAAGTGACAAATTTTATGACATACACTTCCGGAACACTTTTTAAAGTCCTCGAAAATACCTTAATGAGTGCTGTAAAAAGTTAATAGCTTCAAAATTGAAAAAGTTATGATAAAAATAAGATAACCAATGATTTATTATAAACTTCTTGTTTATATAATATCATTGAAGATAACCCTTTAAACTTTTTTGAAAAAACTAAAAACAAACCCTTCATCATTCATCAAAATGCATCGGTTTCCCGTTATTTAGGGTTGAATACTTAGATTTAAGTACTCGTCGAAAAAAATACA